GCATGAGAGGGAATTGTTGAAATGTCCCGCATACCAAATTTGGAAGTATGAAATTTATTTTTTCTTCCTTTCCCTTCAATGGTTCATTTGCGCTCGTTAACCTTAACCCTAACCTGTTTATCTTCTGAACTTGTACGCAGAATTAGATGAAACTTTGCACAAGAAATATCTACGACTAGACCTTTAAGTAGACGGTAGCACAAGGTCACACAATAAATTCTAATTTTTTTATGAATTTTTTAAAGTCAAAGGGTCAGGACGAGCGCAAATGAATCACGCGTGTTGTACCCAGACACTTTTGAAATAGGATTGGTGATGTGAATTTTCAAGGGAATCACAAGGGAATAGTATGGAAGTGAGGGGAATGTGCAAGACTTGTACATGCAACATTTTCAAATGTTAAAAATGATTTTTAGTGTGTTTACCTTGAAATGTTCATTTGCGCTCGTTAACCAAATTAGGAACGTTATAACTTTATCAATTTTAAATGGAAATGTATGAAACTTTGCAGAACACAGAACTAATACGAAACCTTATAGTACACCAAAGTGTAAGTTCATACAATAAATTCTAATTTTTTTATGAATTTTTTAGAGTCCGAGGGTTAGGACGTGCGCAAATGAACTACGCATGAAGATCTTCGGTGAATTTGTAAAAGGGATTTCCGACTCGAACTTATGAGGGAATCTTGAGGGACAGGTACGGCAAGAAGGGGAATTGAAATGACTACTGCACAAGGCATTCGCAACTGTTAGAAACAATTTTTAGGGTCGTTCCGTTCAATTGTTCATTTGCGCTCGTAATCAAAAATGAAAAGTGTGTCAATGCAGCAACTTTGAAAGACATCAATTGACACTTCGCAGCATCAATGTGCAACATCTATACTTTACGTTGGCAAAAGCACTAGTTTAAACATGTAATTGGAAATGTTGTACGAAGTGTTAAGTTGAGGGGGGTTAGTACGAGCGGAAATGAACCACACGTGAACCTAATTGGGGCTGTTGTGAGTGGTTCATTTGCTCTCGTTAGTGGTTCATCTGCTCTCGTCAGGTGGTTCCTCTGCTCTCGTCAGGGTAGGGTTAACTTTGGACTGAAGATATTTGTGTTAGGCCCATCATTGTTAAGCGTTAGGCCACATAGACTAGGAAAACTCCTATGGAAAATGCGTGCACTGTAAGTAGCTCTAGTGGTTCAATACAAACCCATAGGAAACTATGGTGTATTCTTTGTTCTTGTGATTATTTGATTGGCGAATGCATCTTTGGACTCCTCTTTCTTGAACCCAACAAGAATAATTGTCTAAGCCACCAAAATGGAGTAGGTTATGAAGTGTTGTATGGCAGCTAGTTGGGCCATAATGTTTCTCTAACAGCACAGCATACCGAATTACCATCTTGTGAAATGTATCAGCATCACTTTCTGACCACTTATCCCTAGCATGGTTTTGAAGATATTCAACTATACGGCAAAGACATAGCCACTCCTGTGCTTGGGTTTGTGATAGATGATCGAGGAGTGCAACTTCAGAGGCAGGAAAAGCAAATTTTTTGTACTCTTCAGCTGAAAGAAACAACAAGGTGAATCAACCAAAAGCTCAAAAGAGCCAGCAAAGTACAACCAATGATTATTCATATTGTGGATGAAAAATTGAAAAGGTTTTTATGTTACATGTTTATGATTGGATGTCCTAAACATGGATAGATAAAATTATTGGAGAAACTGGGCTCTGGAAATGTTGACACCATGGTGGTTTTTATGTAAGCACAGGCAGTAAAAGTAACAACTAAATTCAACCAGCTGATCAATAGTATGATATTTTCCAAAAAGCAATGACATGATAACATGAGTGACATTACAACTGATATGGAAGTGATGTTATGTAAAAACAAGACCACCATACTAAAAGGTCAATAAAAGGTCACCTTTCCAGTAGCCACATCTGCTACTAATACATTGTGGTGTTCTAGGTGCTCTAAGTTCTGAAGAAAAATAAATAACAATTAGAGATAATCAAATTACGGTGCCTCTGTGTATGAACAATAAACTTTGAAAAATGTGGTATGGATCTACACTCACACCTGTAACACAAGTTAATTATAAACCACTATTATCATATAAAATAGGAACTATGCAGAGTATGATTACCATGAGTCCACGGTACTTTTCTTAGCTGTGAGTCCACTTCTTTCCAGTCAATTGAATCTTCTTCACTAGCTTTCAGAAAGGCAATATGGTTTTTAACAGCATTAAGAGAAGTCCCATGAAACTGATCATACACCAAGTGGCGGTTATATTCAAACCTATACAATGCATGGAATCTGTGGAGAATGGAGAGTCCTGTGTATCCAGTTTCTCTAGCTCGCTTTTGCTTTATTGAGATTCTTTACTCCTCTTCTATTTCACAAAGTTCATCAAAAGAGCCAAGAACACTCTTACTACTTGCAGGGAATCTTGCATGCTGCTGGAATCCAGCATAATAATAGTGGTTTGTTTCAGGAATGTAGACACCTAGTAAATGAGTTAGAGGAGGCATGTTCAAATAATCTCAAGGTTGGGAGAGGTGTCACATTATTACATTGTAGAGGTTTACACAATAAAATATAAAATGTGCATTTCTCAATAGTAAAAGATTGTTTTAATTGCTTTTTGAAAAGTAAACTACTGAAAGTTGAATCAACAATTTCCTACCACAATATATTAAATGTAATGCTAAGCATGCCTGTTTGGACAAAACATAGAACATACTTGTGGTTTTGCAGCGATGGCATCCAGATTTTCCACACTTGATAAATTTTCCCACTTCACATTGGCCACTATGATCACCTGTCCAATACAATACGAGATGTCTTACGACTGCATCTCCCGCTGCATAGTCACAAACTGGAACAGGAAAGTTCACTTAAATTCCTATGATAAGGGTGAGAAAGAACCACTTTTTCAATATTGCTTACCAGAGCAGCTACTACAGGAGAAAGGAAAAAAAGAATGTTGAAAAAAAGAAAATTACTCCACACACCCTAAACTAGTAAAATAGTAGGCCCTGCCCTGACCCTTGGAGGAATGGGACAAAAGAGGTAAAAGAAAGAAATAAAAAATGTGCTAAATGCGTTAGAAATACACTTTTTTGTTATGAATTTTGATATTTCAAAACTGGCCAATAAATGGGGAAGATATCAATTATTTTTAAACAGAACTATGATGAAGAATATTAAACCTTCAAGATCTCCATTGAGAGTTCCCCTTTGTGGGCATGCATCAACAACACTACATACTACAAAGCAACAGGTAGGTTGACATCAATGCCAATATAGTTATACACACTGATCAGCATAAAAAAAGTAGTACACCAAAAGGGCTGCAGCACGAATGGTCGTATTTACAAGCAAAGCACTAATACAGGACAACATAAAATGACAATTACCATGAATAAAGCCTTCAATCTCACGTATGAGAGGGTCAAGGAAAGGATCTAAAGATATAGATCTTTTGCATGGAAGTAAGAATGAGGGAACAAAGCCCACCACATATACTTCGTCAGTAGGACATCGTTCACCTTTACACATAGTTGCAATGGAAACCTCTATTGCACCTGTTTTGAAGGGATGAGACACATTCATAAATAACTGAGAGACGCGTTAAAACTATGGTAGGTGGTTTTGCATTTTTTTGTTACATTTTGTTGAAAATTCCCTTTTTTACATGCAGGCTTGTTTTAAGGCAGAAAACATTTTCAACGAAGTTTTCAATGTACACAATAATCCACAGAAAAGAACTGGTGCATGTTTTATTGTGAAAAATTGAAGTTTCTGGATAAATTAGTTATTGCCTCAACATTAGCCCTAAAGTTTATAAAACAACCTACCACATCCTCTGACTGAAGTGGAAAATGGCTGCCACCCATCCCAATGAGCTGAAAAAGAAAATCAATCTTAAAGGTTCCGATGTTGCTAACTTTCCTTTCCAATGTTGGTAAACAATAAACCATCATTGGTATTTTCCATTTGTACCAATATTGGTAAATGATTTTAAAGTTCCAATGTTGGTACTGATATCACATTTCCAGTGTTGGAACACGTCTTAAAGATACCAATAAAAAACCAGTAAAGTTCCAACAAAACCCCAACGTTCCACCAATGTTGGTATCTCCAATTTTTTCCTGTGCACACAAATGCCTAGTGGCATTCCAAACCACATCTACAGTCTTCCAGAAGAATACGATCTTGAAGATTGTGGTGAGTGTGTATGTAACAATGGAACACTGCAAAACCCATTTTGAGAGCAAACATCTTTTCAAATCCATACAAGACTTGCCCTATAACACCATGGCGTCATATCAAAACATTCTATTGTCCTCATGCTAAGAATTACAGTATGGTTGCCAGTCAGGGGGACAGAACATCAGCAAGACAGAAACTTTGTAAAACAGTCGTTTGGTAAACAAATAAAAAGACAAACAACAATAAGAGAGACACGAGGTAGACATTGATGTGTGAAAACTAAACAATTTGATGATCAACTTTCGAAAAGAGACGATTAAGTTCAATTTTCCCATTGTTTTAGACAATTCTGTTCCCCCTGTAAACAAGCTAAATTTGATCTTTAACTTGTGTTCAAGGCTTTCCAATAACAGAGTTGCAATTGAAAGAAGCAGCCATCAAATCAGGGGTCTTGCAAATGCCAGATGATTTTTTAAAGCCAGACTTTCGTAATGTGTGAAAGGATGATTCCTGACTACAAAATGATAAAACCACATAAATGCAGAGATGCTTATATCTCTATGAAACATCATTTTAATAACCTTTTAATAACCAACCTTTCCATATGGTATGTTCACTTGTAAAATATATTCTATCATGGAACTCAACGTATGATACAAAACAAACATGTCAATACAGGTAATAGAAATACAATCTGTTACAATGGAAATATTGCAACTGCAATCTAAAACATATTACTTCGATTTTTCTTTCAATTTAAGAATGTTACAAAACTTATTACAACTATGATTTGAAAAAAAAGTTATCAATAGCGGCTATTGAAAGATTTCCAGTACAAAACTGTACTTTACCATGTTCATCCATAATCTGCCTTGAGGCAATTTCAGGGTCATAAAACGTATGACCAGAGCCTTGTATATCTAACAACATCAGCTTTCCCTTTGATTTCTTGTGGTTAGCTCAATTGGTTAGAGTGCTAGTTTGTGTTGTATGGGAGGTCAACGGATTGAGCCCTGGCTAGACCAATACTCATGGTTTTTAAATAAGTGAGGAGAATCTGCTGCCTTTCTATAATCAAGAAATGGATAGATATTCTAGTCTTCTCGGATAAGGATGAATAAACCGTAGGCCCCATCTCCTGCAGGGTTAGGGGTAGGAGATATTAAATTCCCATGCACGAGACTACTGTGTGGTGGATGTCGTCCCCTGGATGGGATGGGTGGGTGTTGGCCCTGAAAAGCCCCTATGGGGAGTGGTCAATTAACCTATATATGTATGTATTTCTCATAACCTTCTGCCTTGTTGCTTATTTCGCTATCTTTTCCACATAATTGATCATTGTTGCTAATGTATTTGACAAAGTCCCCCTCAGTATACTCTTCCACTGTGAGAAACTCATCAATGTCTGTCTTACCCATGAATATTTTCCTGTACTCCAATACCTGTCCATATTCTCCATCAACTTGCTCTTGTATCACTCTTTCTCTCAATTGTCTTGCAAAGTTAAAAGCAAGGGTGTGTCCCTGTACGACCTTCCTAGTATGCTCTTCAGGAGTTTGTTCTGTGTCCTGAATATCTTGCAATGCCATATTAAGGTAGCATTTGACAACCCATGTTGTGCTTGTGTAGCCTTAATTTTACTGTGAAGACATTTCTGATACCTCCAGAAGCAAAAGGTTGAGCATCTATAAGAAATTCTGCATCACATGGAACTTCTCCCCTAATTGGTGTCCCCAAATTAGTAGGGGATTTGTTCCCTGGCTAGACGGTTTTTGACACTTTAATAAAGTTTCTACTACTACTACTACTACTGTGGTCCATTCCATATGTTTTTTCAGATCTGATTTTTGCTATTGCATAAATAGCGGTCTCTACTGCGAGGATCGTGCATCGTACATATCTACAACCGCAGTTCAAAATATATGAACTTCATATATTCACTGTATCTAATTAGAGTTATGAGATTATTACAAGTAATTATTACTACCATATTAATTGCGATAGTAATTAACATGGTAGTAATCCAGTGAGTAGTCCAGTGCTCAGTGCACTGGACTCTTGGTGAAATGGCCCAGGTTTCATGGAATTGGAAACACCACTCTTGAAGATTTATTCATGAATGAACCAGCTGTCATGGATTATACAGATCAGATTGACTCTCAGGACTGTGATTTTGCAAGTTTTAAGGATGTTTGAGTGAAGTACAGCTCCAATTTCTTGATAGCACATTTGAATATCAACAGCTATCAGAATAAATTTGAAGAGATGAGGGAAATTATACAAAAGGTAAGAATTCAAGTGATGTTCATTGGTGAAACCAAAATTGACTCTTCCTATCCCGATGCACAATTTGCTATACGAGGGTACCCTTGCTTTACCGAAGTGACAGGATAAAAGGAGGAGGTGGTCTCTTGGCTTATGCGTCATCTAACGTGATCTGCAAACGGTTAAAAGGTCCTGGCAGTTACAAAACTATTGAATCATTGGTTTTGGACGTTGAGCTCAAAGGGAGACGTGTAATTGTGGCTGACTTGTATCGCCCTCCCAAACCTCTTGTCAGCAAGTATCAACTGCAACTGGAGGAGGAGATTAATCACTTTTGTAACTGGGCTTAAATGCAGGGACATGCACTTGTGTTATTGGGGGATTTATATGTTGATAGACTCCACCCTGATAAGCCTGAAGGCAAGTTGTTAATCGATACAGAGGAGACCCATGGACTTGAGTGTGTAATTACGGAGCCAACTAGGATTCAAACTAGGGCTGGTAAGACTACCAAGACCCTCATTGACGTTATCTTGACTAATAAAGCTCATTTGTTTCTCCAGAGTGGGATTTACGAACCGGGTCTTAGTAACCACCCACTAGTGTATGGCTTCATGCAAGACACAGCAGCTAAAGTCAAGCCTAGAATTATCAAATTCCGTTCAGTTAAGAACTTTGATAAGGAGAAATTTCAAGAACACCTTAATTCAGCACCTTGGCTTGTTGGGGAAGTTTTCGATAGTGTGGAGGATCGGGTTGGTTTTGTAAGTATACTAATGACGGAGATTGTCAATGACCATATGCCATTTCAACAAATGCGTGTCAGAGATCCGGATGTACCATATATGAACTCAGAGTGGGAGGAGGCAGTATGGGCAAGATGCAGGGCTGCTAGGCGATATAGGAGGACAAATGCTCCAGAGGACTTGATCAATCTTAAAAAGTTTTGAAATGAGGCGACTAGACTGCATAGGAAAGCATTAAAGAGCTATTGGAAAATGAAAGCCGAGGATCTTAAGAACAAACCACAAGACTTTTATAAAACTTTTATGCCATTCTTGTCATCAAAGTCAAACTGCAGGCAAGTCTCAGACATTAAGCTTAATATTAATGGGCAAGCTAGTAGTAATAAGGTTGACATCTCCGAGGCTTTTGGGGAGTATTTTGCAACAATTGCTGATGGTATTGGCCAATTGGATATAAATAAGTGCTCTCTGGGTGATTTTGACAATCACAGCAGTAACTACC